CTGTCGTTCCTCCTGTCGTTCCTTTTGTCGTTCCTTTTGTCGTTCCTCCTGTCGTTCCTCCTGTCGTTCCTTTTGTCGTTCCTTTTGTCGTTCCTTCTGTCGTCATCTCTGTTGTCGGAATGTTTGGGCATTCCTTGAGTTCGCCTAGATTTTTTGTACAATCTGATGTTCCAGGAACACATTCATAACACTTTAATGCTTCACCTGTTACAAACAAATAAGAATTATAACCTATTCAAATAAATATTCTATTTGTGATCGCATAATAAAAAGCCAATTGTTTTATTTTTCTTAAAAGTTGTGATCGCTTAAAAGCAAGAAATTAGAATATGCAATCGTTTACCTAACTCGATTGATACAAAAAGAAAACTGAATAAAAGACACGGCACAATTAGAGTGTAAGATCGTTTTCGTGACATGTTGCACGAGATTTTCCTGGACTTTCAGGTAATAAGTTTAACTACCTCTCTTTGACTGACGCGAAACTGCAAGAGAACAAACATTTTTTATTAATCCTTATCGTTTTCCTATCAATCGATTGGCTCTACATAACAGTTTATCTCGATAAAGAGCACCAATCGATATCGCTATCCTTGGAGAGTTGTGATTAAAAGAACTTCTTTGGAAAAACTTTATCATTATATTTTCCGTTTCTCCGTTAAAGTATCCTCATTTGCTCATAACGATAAGATATTGAATATTATCTATCGTACTGCTGCTTCTTTTTGATCCTTATCTACGATCGAAGATAATATCGATATTATTTTTCTTCTTGCTAATATTAAAAATCGCTCGTCATAAGAACGATTGTCAATAGAATGGAATTTCAGCTTCTAATGTAAGTATTTTTACAAGCTGTGGACCATAATAAAACTTAATTCTTTTCGCACATAGAAGAAATTAATTAGATTTCTACACCTATAAACTCCTGCAGAAAACTCACACTACTTGATGATAAAAATTGTTAAATAATATCAAATTTTCTTTTACAATAATTTCCTATCTGTCAAAGGATAAATTTTTTTAATACGACCCACATTTATTAAATACGT